CAATTGACCAATTGGGGATTTCCACAACAGATGGATGCAATTTGGATTTGAACCATGGGGGAGACTTCTTGGTTTTGGGTTTTTAGGCGAATAGGTCAACCAGACAGGCCAGGGGAGGTGGCTAGCTGGTTCAGGGAAGGTCGAAAATGGCTTAATTGACATAAGCTTGGGGGTTTGATAGAGATTTAGGAGCATTTTGGGAATTTTGGCCAATTTTGTTGTATTTGGGTGCAATTGAAGTTGTTAGGTGGTTAGGTTTCATTTGGGTGAGGTTTGGAGTGAATTTGGAAATTTTGGTAAATTTTTTGGTATGGGGCATTTTAGTAATTTTGGAAAAATTAGGAGTATTTTGGGAATTTTAAAGAAAATGGGGTTTCTTGAACAATTTGAATGGTTTTCAGTGGTTTGATATGATTTTTTAGAGAGAATTTGGGAATTTGGACATTTTTGAGAAATTTAGGGTTCCTGGGATATTTTGGTAATTTTATGAAAATTTTGTGTAGAAATCCAGAGTTGGATGTCTGGTTAAAATTGAAGGTAATTAAATGTGACCATCATGATGTTACTCTTTTGGTGCCATGAGACCAAGAGAAAGCTCATTTTGAATCCTCCATGTGTTGGTCCTGGCCACCCTAGCCAAAGGCTAATAGCTTGGGGACCACCCACATGAGTTTCCAAAAGAGTGGGAAAATGTTAAATGTGACTGATTTAAGGGTTTTGCAAATGCGTGTGAGGGGTTTGAGTATTTGTGTGTGAGCCTGACCAAGACCAAGCCACCCGGGGCTAATTCTAAGGCCTAACAGTCCTATGGGGACTCCCCTTAAGCTGACCCATGTTGATCTCGGCCTTCTAAGTGCTAGAGTTCAAAACTAAACATGTGGAACTCCAACAAGAGTAAAGAGGCGTTTAGAATTTTTAATGGGGTAGGGTTCCATCACCGGTGCTCTAGAATAGTCAACAAGAAGGTCTTGTGGCTAGATCCAAGGCTCCTATGGAAGAAAGGCTAGACCTCAACAAAAGTGAGGTCAACAATCAATAATTAAGCGATGATTTGATCTTTGAATAAGGAATAAACACCTTGCTTCTTAATAATTTTAAATTTACAAGTTTGTCCTCAAAGGACTTAAGAGCTTGATAAGTGAACTAAATTTGATCCAATATGACTTAATGAGGATTAGAAAGGTGAATGCAATCAATTATAACTATCTTTGAAACACTATCAGCCCAAAACTGATCTAAAGGGTAAGAGATTCCTTAATAACTATGTTTATCCCTAGGGCATAACTTTTAAATATAACTTCAAATGAATGGCTAGTTACCTTACTCATGGGTTAACCGAACACCAAATTTCACTTAACACAAGTTAAAACATTACAACTAAACCCTAATTTAATCAGGATTAATTAATCCAACAGGACAATAAGGTCAAATGAACTAGAAATGATCCAAGAGATTTCAGTGTTGTTTTAGGGCTATGCCCCGAATATCTTTTTAAAATTTTGGATACTTCAAAGGACATTTGAATTTATTGATCTTTATTGGAGAAATTTCATCGTCAAAACTCATAGGGATGCATCAAGATATGGTCTGGGAACCGTTAATTCACAAATTCATATAAAATACCATATCCTGCTATCCTACAGTTAAACTCAATGCTCAAGGGTTTGAGCCTTGCATAAGGTATTCAAATTCTTATGAGGAACTGGAGATATTTGTTTGTGTTACATATAGATCATTGGGCTAGTATAAGACAAAGGTCTTGAAGGCAAGGGAAATGATGACATTTCTTATGTGTGCTAAATGAGGGACACGAAGTGAAATATTAAAATATTATCTCTTATTGACTGTCCTAATGGTGGCAACGACGGTGACAAGACTGCTTGGTGGCGATTGGTTTATAAGCAAATGTACAACACCTAACACAGAGCCAAATAGAACATGCTCGCCAAGATGAAGTTCGGGCTGTCCAACCGTATTACCTCAGTCATATGGTATAGAAGGTCGATCGCCTCTCTGTTAAGAAGGCCGGTAAACCAATCCCGCTGGGTATCCATCATAAGATATCTACCCCGCAAACTCCCATAAACATTATTTGACCCGTCCAACCAGGAAATTCACCTCAGGGGCGACCCGCCAATCTCAAATGGAGGAAGTGGAGCTAATTCCACCTCCACGGACCTCATCCCCTTCAAGTCCCGGTCGACCCTCTCCAGAAGTTCCTCCTCTAAAATTGTGTCATCTCCAGAAGCGCGAACAACCGACAAGGGCGACACAAGACGAGTAGCAGCCCTCCCCCAGAGATCAATATAGGCGACGCCCGCCGCCACTTTTTCCTCGTACCTATTCAACGGAACCGGAGAAAGTTCCTCCCCAAAAGACGACTCCTGAGATCCTGAAGCTTTAGACAATGTCTCTTGACGTGAAGTCGTGGTCCCTGCAATCGCCTTCCATAAGTTCGAAAGGATAAGAGAGGTAAAGGGTGAAAGAAAGAATGAAACTGAGATAAAACTCCTTAACATGTTCGGCGTCGAACCTTCTTGGAGACTTCCTCGATTGGGAAGCAATTTTGTCTCTCCTCAAAGACTTCTTTGCTTTGGGTTTCTTCTCCTCTGCCTTCACTGGTTCAACCATCTTTTTTTTAATTTCTTTATATTCCTATCGAAGACTCTCGGTCAAATCCCCGGAGATACCGGATCACAGGACCCCGTCGACGACGCCCAGATCAGTGAATTGGTAGACGGAGAGTTCTCTCCCTCTAATCTTTTTCGTGTATATGCGCATGGGCCTCGGGAACAACCCCAGCCTTGTCACTTTATTGGTGATGGGCCGAAAATAGATTCCCCAGCCGCGGCAAGATGTAGCGATCACAAATTTAAATTGTCAGTCCTTCACCTTATTCTCGACCGCTACCACCCGAAGCTTAGGGCCAGTTGAGAACAGTGCACATCCATCACAGTCGATCTTGAAGTCGAAAAAATAAGAGTAGCTCAATCGACCACGGAAGCGTGACTTACTGTAAGAAGACAACGAAGGCCATTATGATGGCAATGGAGTTCGAAGTGACTTGCGCGGGGATGATACCGTAGTCGTTGAGGATAGACCTCATCTCGCTACAGAATGGCAGATGTAGCACATATCTAAATTGGTCAGTGTAGATGACCAAGCTATCATCAAAAGTTCCTGCTGGCTTTTACCCTTGGGAAGCCGCACACAAAGAAGCCGCACACAAAGTGACTTCCAAGCCAAAGGCGAACGATTAGTGCAAGATCTTAGCTTGTTTCTCTTAAATGATGGCTGATGCGGAAAGAGAATTTACACCAAAGAGCTCAGAAGAATACGTAGAAGCCATATGGCAGGGAAGAAGAAAAGAAGAGAACGGTCACATGAAGAAGAGGATAGGGATCGTGAAAGGAGTTAAGAGTTCCAACTAGCTAACTTATGAGTTATAAACAAAGCGGAAGCATCACAAGGACTGGACAGTCTTTTCGTCACATCAAAGCATGGGAAAGGCATCAAATCAAAATGTTTATTGATAAAAATTTGAATAAATAAAATTGCAAATATCCACATATATCTATATGTACATCGTAACAATAAACAAGGTAATAACATTGGTAAATGCATATGTTAATTGACAAGACAAAACGTCTCATTACAATTATTTACCCGGATAGAAAAAACTTCACAAAATAGTCGACCGATGCCTCAATCAGGACACACCCAGTTGAGAAGACGACAACTCCTCTCAAATGGCAGCTAATTCGATCCTTAAAGACGACAATTCCTCTTGAGAAGGCGAAGCTAGAGCTAAACCAGACGACACTAGAATGTCGACTATTCTCTCCAAACTCGTTGGTTTGTCACGAAGCAACCCTCTAGATTGCGTGAGATCCCGAATTCCCCAGTGTCCATAACAACTACAGCGCTAGAAACCTCCCTCTCAACATGAGGAGGGTCTTAGAGCCCTCAACAGAGGAAAAATCCATCATCCCGTCCATCTCCGAAGTGGTGATCATGAATGAACCTCCCCCGATATTCTTTCCCACCACGAAGGTTGAGAAGTGAGTTGTAGGCACCAACTGCAGAAGGATTAGGAGTAATCCCATGATTATCCACGCCTGAACCTCTAAAGGTATTAGGCCCAGCGTTGGCTCTCGACCCTGATTCTCACCCAATATCGAAAGAATGTGAGGGAAAATGCCTTGATAGGCTCGATCATCAACCAGAAGATCGCTTGTTCGAAACGTGACAATTTTAATGAAAAACCGTCCCTCACCAACAGAGAACTTTTCGCATAACAATCAGTATTCGAATCAAATGACCCTACTTCCACCACAGGGTCAAAGGTTTTCCTCTCATTGGCGGCATGTTACCCGAGTAAGTTGTCCTTAAAGTTTGTCCTCGCCCTCTTCTTCATGGCCTGCAATATCAAGGTTTCGGCCCCCTCGATGACAGACTCAAGCAGCTTTCCACCCTCAATACTCCGCATCGCTTAGAATTTGGAAGATAAACCACAAAGAATGCTAGGAAGACATCTGTCCACATCTATATAACAACTTTGCACGGATCAAGAAGTAATTAATTATTGTGCATCGAGTGGTCATGAATATCATGAACTTGATTCAAAAATTAAATTCTCTTGTCCTTATTACAATTTTCGCAATCAAATAACAAGAGAAACTCTAATTAATACATACATCAAAAAAAAATATTATCACGAATCGCAAAGACATCTCGTATAGGATGAAGGTGGTATGGCGTCGTTGGGCTCACCGAGAGCGATCAAAGTCAGGCTCGAAACTAGTCAGTTTTTCATGCCGCGGAAACGCCGCATCTGAGAGACATAATTCGCCTCCCCAAAGAATTCTACCGGTCAGCTAAATTCGCAATTCTCCAATCGAACGAGTTGGGGATAGGAACGGGCCCCTCTACCACCAAGATAGCTGATGTAATTCAACAATATATATCTACTTAATATAATTTATATCAGAAATGTTCGGAATCAATTTTCGCTCATGTAATTTTGTGTCTCAATTTTATATGTTAAAAGAAAAAAGTCATTTAAGAAACTGTATTTAAATAAATATTATACATAAATGTATTGTGAATGATTTGTGATCTATTTACAAAGCAGTGAGAAAAATAAGTAGTTCTCACATGCAGGGATCATGTTCTGGTGCGGGTAGATTTTTTGGAGTGAAGAGGACCAACCACAGGAGCTTCAGAATGATGCGCTGAAGCTGATAAGGACTGGAAGTTGGTGTTCCCAACAAACCAATAAAGGACCCATTTAAGATTGCAGAGCATATATCTAAGAGCCTTAGTCCAGTTCTCCTGCTTGTTGAAACTCTGCGTTATGGTGTAAGTCTCCACCTTGTCGTTTTCAATCCTACATCATAAAAAATAATAATATAAAAAATAGCCCAAAAAATAAGAGAGTTAGACATATACCACTCAATTCCTATGTATTTATATATCTAACAACTAAACATTCATATTTAGGTGTCACCACTCAAATCTTCAATATTACATAAAAAAATACCACCATTGCCACCTTTTTCATGCACAGGTTGATGACACCAAAACTTTTAAGTGTAAATATCAAATGTTGGGTGTTAGGTATGTAAATATATAAGAATTATGTGGTATGTATGTAAATTTCACTAAAAAATAAAGATAGATTTACATGCATACCACTTAATTCTTATGAATTTACATATCTAACACCTAAAGTTCATTTTTTTAGATATATGCCACCTTACCTATATATGAAAAAGTATATTACACTTTTTAAAAGTATGTACTTTTAATGTGATATGAAAGATTTGGGTAGTATAAATGTAAAAAAGAAAATTGAGTCAGATATGTAAATATATAGGAATTGGGTCATGTATGTAAATGCCCCATCAAGAAATTCGATGAAACAGGAGGTTTATTATTATTATTATTATTATTATTATTAGTATTTTTGCTTTACAACCTTCTATTTCATAGCCGACCCAACTTAGGGGGATATGACTTCTTGTTGTCGTTGTAATCTTCTGTTTCATCAAATTTCATGATCGGAACAGAGTATTAATTTTGTAGTTCCTGCTAGGTGCCCCCTACGCTAAACAGAAGAATCTAGCCCGCAGCGTATCAAAAATCAACATAAAGATTGCATTTCACAACAAAAAAAAAGGAAATTAAATAGCTGAACTATGAGCTTTCAATTACATTAGAATTGTATAAAAAACAATATTAAGTTCATAATATTTTGTATCGATTTAACACTGTCGTTGCCGGTCCCAAGCCCGGACGAGAAAAGTGGAGGGTTGCGTTAGGTAGTCGACAGCCGGCGTAAAACTTGTCGAAAAAAAAATTATGACATGAATCCTTTTGATCATTGTGTAAGTGCTAGGGCGTCCCCTGGAAGCGACGCGCTGTATAGCCTAAATACAGTGAAAAGTGTGCAAGGGCCGCTACACCGGCGCCCGAGTGTAGTGTTAAATAAGCAAGAGTTCCCACATTACAGGCGAATGCGGGTAAAAAAGTTAGTCCATTAACCTAATAATATCTTGGAATATAGACACTCTCAATGGTAAATTAATGGAATTAGTTGATATTATGATTTATAGGAAAATTAATATCTTATGTAATCAAGAAACTAAGTGGGTTAGAGAAAAGGCTAAGGAGATTGATAATTTAGGTTCTAAACTTTGGTATTCTGGTAAGAGTCGCACTAGAAATGGTGTAGGTGTAATTATAGATAAGAGTTTGAAAGATAATGTTGTAAAAATTAATAAAGTTGATGATAGAATTATAGCCCTTAAGATTATCATTGATTCTAAAATTTTTAATATTATAAATGTTTATGCTCCTCAAGTAGGTTTAGATACAGGGTCTAAAGATAAATTTTGGAATGACTTAGAAGACTTAATACAAATGATACCTATTGAAGAAAAAATTTTTATTGGAGGAGATTTAAATAGACATGTCGGTAGAGTGGTAGAAGATTTCAGAAATATTCATAGTGGCTACGGTTTTGGAGTAACTAATGAAGAAGGTAGAGCTATTTTAGATTTTGCTTTAGCGTATAATTTTGTTATTACTAATACTTTATTCAAGAAAAGGGATGAACATCTTATTACTTATAAGAGTGAATCTAATAAAACACAAATTGATTATTTTCTTACGAGAAGAAGAGATCGTCGTGATTGTAAAGATTGTAAAGTCATTCCAAGTGAAAATTTAAATACCCAACATCGTTTATTAGTTTTAGATTTTAAAATTAAGAGTTGTAAAATAAAAAATACTAGGACTCATCATTGCAGAATTAGATGCAATTACAGTTCGTTGAAAGGATGAGATTTTGACTACTTTGTAAAATCAAATGGCTCAACTTGTAAATAAACAAAATTGAGTGATATCAATTATGCTAGGTAGTGAATTGGAGCTTGGAAAATAATTAATTTCATGCACATGACGCATAAGTTGAATCTAATCATAATATTATGAAACCATTTATTTTAATGTTGACATGTTCATGAGCACAACAATCATTATGGTAGGAATAATCAATTTAGATTTTATAGGGTGCATGATAGTAAATTTTATGAAAATTAAGGACATCAAAATTTTGATGCAGACAATGATTTAACTATTATGGCTTAAGCTATCGCCAGATTTTACATTTTATCCTTTTTGTAATGCTAAATTTATTAGGAGGAGACGAAGCGTGGACTCATGCGGTAAGTAGAGAAGAAGGGGCCAGCGGAACATGAACGAGCAAAAATGAAGGGGAAATTAGGGCAGCAGTGTGTTGACGCGGGGCGTTTGAAAGCAGGCGGAATGCTTTCCGTGTTTGAAAGCGGGCGGAGGGCCTGCTTGTCTGGAGTGGTTCATCTAGACTTTTCCTTAGTGTGGAGTGACGTCCAGTCCCTTCGGCCCACCCCTAGTTATTCTATTATTATAAATTTGCTTTCATAATGTATTAAAGTTAGTTTTTGCGTGTGTTTGTTTGAGACAGCTGCCGACTTCTTTGGTTTAACCTTCTAAGGCTGTTTTGAAGGGTCTGAGTAGTGCTCCCGCTATATCTCGCTCTTGAAATAGTGATTTATCCTTTCTCTACCTTTCCCCATCCTTCCCGATTCCCTCCTTTGCTTCCCTCCATTGCTGCCACCACCCAAAACCACATCCCCTTGCTGATTTCCTACTATTCAATCCCTCCTATCTTGCTGCTGCCGTCCAAATAACAACTGTTGTTTCTTGCTACTATCTAGTCATCCAACTTTGCTGCCACTACACAAACTCTCTTCTTTTTGTGGGTTCCTGCTGTTCCAGCCATCCCTACCTTTGCCACCCCCTTTCCTTCGCTGCCATCATCTAGAAAACAACAAGCTTGCTGTTTTTCTGCTCTTTCAGCAGCCTGCTGTCCCTACCAATTCACTTTGCTGACCACTACCACCTCTGGATCTAATCCTAGGGTGAATTTGTGTTGTTGTTTGTTGCAATTTCAGATTTATGTTTGTTTGTTGTAATTTTCTATTGGAAGTTGGTAATAATATTTATTTTTTCATTGTTATTTGGTTTAATAAGTTGGTTTGATCAAATTATTAAAAGGTGTGAACGATTTAGATTCTTGGGTCCGTTGTTCAAAGCGATGGTGATATAGATGGGGATGTTAATAGTAGAATTCAAGTTGGTTGGTTGAAGTGGAGGAATGCTTCGGGCCTTTTGTGTGATAGAAAAGTACCGCTAAGACTGAAAGGAAAATTTTATAAGATGGTGGTGAGACCTGCAATGCTCTATGGCGCTGAATGTTGGCCTTTAAAAGAGAAGCATAATAATAAGTTAAGTGTTGCCGAGATGAGAATGATTAGGTGGATGAGTGGCTTTACACTTAGAGACAAAATGCGGAATGAATATATTCGTGATAGGGTTGGTGTAGCTCCTGTGACAGACAAAATTAGAGAAAGTCGTCTTAGATGGTTTGGTCATATTAAACGTCGACCATTAGATAATCCGATTAGGAGAGTAGATGTTTTAAATTCGACTTGTGTTAAGAAAGGCAGAGGTAGACCCAGGAAGACGTGGGCTTATTGTATTAAAAATGATCTTAATTTACTAGAACTAAATGAAAATATGACACTAAATAGGACGCAATGGAGAACAAGGATTCATGTAGCCGACCCCACGTAGTGGGATTAAGGCTTTGTTGTTGTTGTTGTTGTTGTTGTTGTAATATTTTGTATTGATTATGGAGATACAGATAATAATCAAAATAAGATGCTTTGATGAGAATATGAAAAAAAAAAATTTAACATCGTGTATTAAAATTAATGGTTTTCTATCCATTTGAATGAAAAGTTTAGGCATTAATGTAGCTTAAATGTAATTAATATTATAGACAATTTCTTTTTCTGTATTAAAGAAAAAAATGAAGTAAGAAAATCCATAATCAATACAAAATATTACTAAACTGAATACATAATTATTAGGAAAAATTATTTTGATCAAATTGTACTATTGCTCGATGATTTTCAGAAATTTCGAGCAATACAAAGTTACAAATTACTAAACTGAATACAAAATTACAAATATTACTAAACTAAATAATAATTATTAGGAAAAATTGTACTATTGCTCGATGGTTTTCAGAAATTCCAAGAAAACCTTTTTTTATACAATTGGTCAACTATAATTTCTACTTTTTTGTGCATAAAAATCAAGGCATCCGATGCAAATTATGGTGGTCTACCTTGGAGTCTAAAGGCCTTCGTTCAGGTATAACTAAACTGAATACATGGAATGTGATTTTAGTAGTAGTAGCTCTAGTGACAGAAATGTAACTATGCGTGATCAAATTATTAAAAGGCGTGAAAGCTTTAGATATCTCGGGTCTATTGTTCAAAGTGAAGGGGATGTTATTAGTAGAATTTAAGTTGGTTGGTTAAAGTCGAGGAATGCTTCGGGCATACTGTGTGATAGAAAAGTACCGACTGAAAGAAAAATTTTATAAGATTGTGGTCAGACTTGCAATGCTCTATGGCGCTGAATGTTGGCCTTTAAAAGAGAAGCATAAAACTAAGTTAAGTGTTGTCGTGATGAGTGATGAGAATGATTAGGTTCAAATGTGGATTCATAATAATGTAAATTATTAATTTTGCAAAATGAATATTGAATATATCCGTGATAGGGTTGGTGTAGCTCCAGTGACGGACAAAATTAGAGAGAATCATCTTAGATGGTTTGGGCACATTAAATGTCGACCAACTGATGATTCGTTTAGAATAGTAGATATTTAGATTCGATTTATGTAAAGAAAGGCAGAGGTCGACCTAGGAAGAATTCAGCGTATTATAAAAAAGAATCTTAATTTATTAGATTTAAATGAAAATATGACACTAA